GATGAAATCGTTTAGGGATGAACGGGTTTTAGAGTTTTTAAGAGTTTTAAGAGTTTTTAAGAGTTTTTAAGAGTTTTAGCCAAATGCTTTATAAGATAGTATAGATAAGTAATATGCATTAATAAACATTATTTTACGCATAAAAAGTGATTTTTATGAGTTTTTGTCAAATAATTTATAATATAGAATATATATTTTTTTATAATTTAATTTAAGTTTAATAATGAAATAATTTATTTTTGGTTTAATATTATAAATTTTATAAAGATAATAATTAAGTATTCTGTTAGAATTTAATGATTATACTAATTATATTTTAGATTTTTTATATTTAAAATGAGATGTTTATCCTGTATTTTATTGTGTTTATCTGCAGTTAGTTACACGAATTCAGATATGGGATAAAATCGGATAGAGATGAAATCGTTTAGGGATGAACGGGTTTAAGAGTTTTTAAGAGTTTTAGCCAAATGTTTTATAAGATAGTATAGATATGAGTTTATTATTCAAATCGACACAATTGACTCTTCCATGGTTAAACCATGTTGACTTTTCCCCAGATCAAACCACAATTTTGCGGAGCCACCTTAAAGATGCAACCGCTTAGAGAAATTGCAGGGTCTACCACTGACTTAGTCGACCCAAATTATACATCAAACATAATGGAGTTACAACGATATATTAAAAAATGACGGTGAAAAAGTTTTTAAAATTCATGCAAAAGTTGAAGAAATTCTTAATCATAATGAAGTTTTATGTTGGTTCTTATTTTGTCAGAGCGTCTCCAACTGTCCTGTAAAAATGGAGTTTTGTCGGCCGAATTACTCCAATTGTATAAGGACCAACAAAATGGCTTTTTGTTAGGGGAATCCTCTATATTTTGGTGTTGAACTGTTTATCTTCGGCATAAGCATGTGAGAAGGGTTTTGGAGGAAATAGTTTTAGTGAGTGGTCGAGGAGTTATGTGTTTCAGTTAGGGGTTAACAAGGTACAATACAACGTTTTTTTTGTCCTATACCGTGTATCTGGAAAAAATGATACTATGTACCAACCAACCATACTTGGTAACAAGTTTTTTTTTTCTCTCAGGAAATACATGTTGATATTGGTTTTGTACCAACGTTGCAAAAGTTGAAATCAAATCATAATCTTTAATAGTCATACAATAAAAGTTAAACTTAAATTGTTCAATGGTCATTACTTCAAAAACTAATACAAACATTCAAGTAACTTGGGATATTAACATATTAACATTAAAACTCACTTTTTACATTTTCAATGTTTGATTGATCTGATCCTAACATAAATAGGAGATCCATATAGCAACACCCATTAATTATAGTAGAGTTTCATACAGATCTTATTAGGTGCTACTGTATACAACCCTATTTACATATCGAATCATACATTAAAAATATATAACATAATGTTTGATGTTAATGTGTCTAAGAATCGAACATGCACCTACTTTCATACATTGAGAAGGTAATAATGCATTTAAAAGTATATAAAGATAACATGTCATCTATGAATTCACCCTACAAAACACACACCATAGCCAAAGATACTACCCTACAAAACCAGATGCTGTTGGCTGCAACTGCAATTTGAAGGACTGATTTGTCGTCTTGCCTGCTTATATATCTTAATTTCCATGTTTTTATGCTTCAGATTTGGTGTCATTAAAAAGGGTTTGTTTTTGTTTAAGATCTGTAAGTAGATATTGTTACAGAAACATTTCTTTACAAGATTATATATATATATATATATATATATATATGTATGTATGTATACATTTACAGTATAAACGAGACATGATATCTATCCATCTATCCATCAGATAAAGTAAAAGAGAAGGAGCGGGGTAAACAAGAAAAGCAAAAGATCAAGTCTTTCTCAAGCACAGATCCCAATGCAATGCTGGAAGGATTCCCAACATTGTTTGCTGTAAACTCATTCTTTTTGTATATAAGTTTGAAGGAACTTACTTTGTTCCCCTTTACCAATCTTTGATTTTTCATTTTTAGATTTTTCATCTATACGTACACATTTACTGTATCTCTATATAGATTCTGTTTTCTATGACTCTGCAACTAGAAAACAACAAAAAGATAGCCTCTTGACTTCTTCCTCCCCACCCCCCCAATTGTTATTTTAGTTTCAAGAATGGTGAAAAACAGAGTATGATTAGTTTTCTACTTCGCCAATTTCAAGAAAAAATCTTAACTTGATTTGGGTTTGCAACCCTTTTTTCTCTTTAGAGTCATACAACTATGACTACCAATAACAATAATGACAACAATGGCAACAACAAAAACAGTGAAAACTGGTTGGGTTTCTCTCTTTCTCCTCAATCATCACACCCTTCTTCCTCTAATCCCACAACTTTTTTCAGTCTCCCTTCTCATTTTAACTACCAAAATCTCTACTGTGGTGGAGCTGAGGGTGTTCATGGTGGTGGGATCTACTCTGCTTTCCCTATTATGCCCCTTAAGTCTGATGGTTCTCTTTGCTTAATGGATGCCATCACAAGATCACATTCACAAGGTCTGTTTAAAAAAAAATTCTTCAATTTCTTTGTTTTTTTTGCTTCAAATGTTGCTAATTTTATGTTGCTTTTTAGGGATGGTTTCTTCAACACCACCACCAAAACTTGAAAACTTTTTTGGTGGTGTAACAATGGGGGCCCCTGATTTAGATAGCAGCAGTACAATGTACTACCACCAAAATCTTGACCACCACCACCATCATCATCATCAAAATTATCAGATTCAACCCCCAAATTACTTAGATTACAATGGGTTGTACCAATCAATACAACAAGATCAAGAAACTAAAGACTCCCAGCAGGTTGCTGCTGATGGTATTTATCTTCCAACTGTAACTGTTGGAGAAGATGATATCACCACTGGTATAAAGAACTGGATTTCAACAACTTATAACCATTCTGGTGGTGGTGGTTTACAGTCACTTAGCTTGTCAATGAGCCCTGGTTGTTCACAATCTAGCTCATGTGTCACTGGATCACAGCAACAAATCACCACTGTGGTTATGGATTCCAAGAAAAGAGGGTCTGAGAAGGTGGATCAACAACAGAAGCAAATTGTTCATAGAAAATCTTTAGATACATTTGGTCAAAGAACCTCTCAGTATAGGGGTGTCACCAGGTTCATTCTTTAAGTACTTTTTTTTTTTTCTTTTTCTTTTTTGGGATTCTAGCTGAATCTTTTTTATTTAAATCAGGCATAGATGGACAGGTAGATATGAAGCTCATTTATGGGACAATAGTTGCAAAAAAGAAGGCCAAACCAGGAAGGGAAGACAAGGTTAGAAGTCTTGACTTTTTGTCATTTTGCCTAGTTTGACTAATCATAACTCTTCAAATTTCTCACCGTTTTTCATGTTTTTTGGTTCCTGTGTTCCACACTTTGCTTCAGTTTATCTGGGTAAGCATCTGTTTCATGTTTTAGCCATAAATTTATAAACTTTTTTGAAATCAAGATTGACTAATTAATACTTGACCATGTTGGCCTTTTTAGGGGGTTATGATATGGAAGAGAAAGCTGCTAGAGCTTACGATCTTGCTGCACTCAAGTATTGGGGACCTTCAACTCATATCAATTTTCCGGTAGCTTTTCGGTATCCCAATTATATAACATTTTTTGCATTGTTATCGGGACCAAATTCGATATTAACGTCCAAAATGTCGACTAATTAGTTGGAAAACTATGAACAAGAACTCGAAGAAATGAAGAATATGTCTAGACAAGAATACGTTGCTCACTTGAGAAGGTACCTTTTTTTTAATGAGATTTACTGGTTTGTTTGGTTTTATAATACGTTATTAAGTTTGTGTTTCTTTAAATCATGTTCAGGAGAAGCAGTGGTTTTTCTAGGGGAGCTTCAGTTTATAGAGGAGTAACAAGGTTCAAGATTTCTTGATTTTTATTTGTAAAAACATATGAAAGTGTTTTTTTTGTTGCTGAATATAGATTTGCAATCTTTCAGACACCATCATCATGGCAGATGGCAAGCTCGGATTGGTCGTGTTGCCGGAAACAAGGATCTTTATCTCGGGACGTTTAGTAAGTTGTATTGGAATCACAGGGTAGCAACGTTACGACAAAGTCGGTTTTATAATACACCAAATATGTCTAAATGTTCTAATAAAATATTTTATATGACTTAAGTTATAAAATCAAATAATTGTACGTTCTATGCAAAGTGTGTTCTAATAAGTTGATGAAAGCTTTTTGGAGTATGGTGTACTTTTACGTAGGAGCTTAAGACATATTTGACATTTTGAAGATATCTGATTAATGGTCGCAAAATTTCAAGTTTAAAATAATATTGTAGGCACACAGGAGGATGCTGCCGAGGCTTACGATGTGGCTGCTATAAAATTTCGTGGCGTAAATGCCGTTACAAACTTTGACATATCAAGGTACAATGTGGAAAAGATCATGGCTAGCAACACCCTCCTAGCCGGTGAACTAGCCAGGCGAACCAAAGACCCAGACCCGTGCACGGACCAGGTCTTATCGACCCAGACTCATAACGGTCAAGAAACCAAAACCATCTCGAATGAGACCACTACTAATGGCAGCATGTTGGACTGGAAAATGGAACTCTACGACCAAACCATCGGTGGTGGTGGTGCTGCAGCACTCGAGGAAGACGAATCCTCGACCACCAGGAACCACTTATTGATCACTAGCGGCACCGGTGGCGGTTACCAAGAAGATAGCCCCAAAAATGACAACTTTCCGATGGTTCTTGGGGAGGTGGCGGCTTCCAAGTCTATGAATACATGGATTCCAACAGCAACAGCAACAGCAACAAGCCAAGTGAGGTCTCATATCCCCATGTTTGCTGCATGGACAGATGCATGATGAAAAAAAGATTATGGTGGGTGGGTGGGTTCCTTTGATTTGTTGGTGGTTTAATTTTTGTGTTTGGAGATGGGGAGGGGTAATTTGGTACTTTTGAAAAGTATTCAAACCCCATGGAAAAGTTCCCATTTTTGTTGTGATGGAAAAAAAGCAAGAAAAATGATGAAAATAGGTTGTTGATGACAGAATGATCCTTTGACCATATTTCATGACTTCAATTTTTTGTTTATTTACTTTTGACTTTTTATTAATGCTTCTACTTTTAAGTACAACAATCGATTTTCTTGTTATATTTATTTTGGGATGTACTTTTTTTAACCCTATTTTCTTTTTAACAAATCATCAATTTTAATACATCATCATAATTTATATTTAGGGTTTTGGATTTTGGGTTTAATCGAGAAGACCAGAAAATTTTAAGATCACACATGATTAACTGTGATATAAACACATAATCAAACACATATTATGTGGGTGTCCTTTGGTTGCATTTACCAAGTTGCCCACACGTCCCTTTTAAACATGTTTAATGATATATGATTAACGTGTTCGTGTCACATGTAATCATGTTTTATATTAGAACTTCTTGACTTTAAATTGATCAACTTCTCGTATGATCCCTCCCTTTTATGCATGCATATATAAGTTATAAATATTGTATTTTTGAAGTTTAAAAATTATAATAAAATTACATGAAAAATATTGCATAAATCTATGATATTTATACAAGAGCAATAAGTCATAGCCAAATGGGATAACTTGGTCAACTTGATCTTTCGTAAGAATTTTTTGTCCGATAAAGATATATATAACGCTATATTTAAATCATACAAGTTTAGTTCTTTCTTCTACTTGCTATATATTTATTAAAATAAATGACCTACCAGTACCACCAGATGCCACAGCCAGATCTACGCTGTAGTGATTGATTTAGGATTTTCAATCAGGTTAAGTACAATAAAATTGAGTTTATATGACGTCTTAAATGTCTAAATATCTTAATATATGATAGAACCAAACAATAATACATCTAAGCTAAAAGTGTTAAAAATGGGTTTATAAAATGTTTTTGGCATTTTAACATGTTTTATAATGACATTTTGAAAGTAATATGTCGTATTAGTTATTTTATATTAATAATATTTAAAAAAATATCATGTAAAAAGATGTGCATATAGGACATTATTTTTTAATAAAACTATTTTTTTCATGTGATGCATTACAAGTCCTTTTACCAAATATTAGTAGAAAAATCCTTTCTCGACTATTATAAATAAACTAAAAGGTATTCGCACAATGTAGTGAGATACATCTCGATTTTAATGTTTCATTTTATTCTGTCCTCTGCCGATGTTATAATACAGTTTTATGTGGTTTGGAGAAAAACGACAATGTTTTTATTTTTGAATAAAATATAAATTTGAAGATATCTTAAAATCTTGAATTTTTTTATCGATATTAGTATCAAATTAATTATTTAAAGATTCTTGTTTTGTTGTATAATTTCTTTAATTCAGTTTTTTATTATAATTTAAATTTAATAACGAAGTAAATTATTTTTTATTTAATAATATAATTTTTTATAAAGATAATAATAATTAAGTACTTTGTTAGAACACAATAATCATCCTAATTATATTTTAATTTTTTTATATTTTAAAATGAAATGTTTATCCTGTATTTGATTATGTTTATCAGCAGTTAGTTACACGAATTCAAGTATGAAGTTTTAATAAGTTGTACTTATGCATTATTTACTTGTAATCTTGAGTTTTAAGTAATATATGCATCAATAAACAGTATTTCATCTATAAAAAAATAGTTTTTAATAGTTTCTATCAAATGTTTTATAATATAGTACAGAACCTCATGAGGTTAACTCAACTGAGAATAAGGTTTGGACTTTGGAGATTTTTTTTAGAGGTCACCTATTCGAGTCCTCTGAGATCATCGCCTGTTTTTTTTTTGCTATTCTCCAGGACCCCTGGAAATTAGTCGGGGTGCGTCTAAGCTAAACTGAACAAAATAAAAAAAATGAATAGAATATATATATATATATACACCAAGCTATTTGTCCTTTAAAATTTCGTGATTGAATAGTGATAGTGAAATGTTTGTACGATATATAAATTTACCAAACACGAGAAGGAAGGTGAAAACAATAATAATTGTGGGGTCTTTGATGAACAACCGAACTTGATTAAATTTGTTAATCCTCATGATTAGATATAAAAACAAGGGGAATCGGAATTGACACTTCACCATAAATATGCAACGTATTCATGCCAAAACACATTTTTTAGGTTTACATCAACTTAAAACCAACTCATATCATATTATATATAATCATTATTTAACATCACAAAATGACTATAATTTTTCTTAAATTTATTTTAACAAAATCCCAAAAATTATCTATACTATATTATAAAGCATTTAACAAAAACTCTTAAAAATTACTTTTTATACGTAAAGTATTGTATATTAATGTATATTATTTAAAACTCAAGATTACAAACAAATTTTGCATAAGTATAACTTATTAAAGCTTCATATCTGAATTCGTGTAACTAACTGCAGATAAACGTAATCAAATACAGGATAAATATCTCATTTTAAATATAAAAAATATAAAATATAATTAGGATAATTATTGGGTCTAACATAATACTTAATTATTATCTTTATAAAATTTATAATATTAAACCAAAAATAAATTATTTCATTATTAAACTTAAATTAAATTATAATAAAAATAAATAAATTAAAGAAATTACATAAAAATTGAAAACTTTTAAATAGTTGATTTGATATTTACATTGATATATTTTTTTTTCAAATTTTTATGATATCTTCAAATTTATATTTTATTCAAAAATAAAATCATTATTGATTTATTAAAAACACATAAAATCGTATTATAACATCGACAGAGACAAATAACAAAATAGAATATTAAAATCGAGATGTGTCTCGCTGCATTGCGCGAGTATTTTTCTAGTAATATATAAGTGTCTGTATAATCAATTTGAAAATTCCTTTACTTAACATATTAAAATAATTTAATTTTTTTTACTGTCTGGTTTTTATTAATCAACATACTGTATTAATAGGGACTTATTTTAGTTATATATTGAAATGTTGTAATTAACTAATTTTTTTTTAAATGTCATTTTTTAATCATTTACATTTTTCATCTAATTTATCATCTAACAATTATCTTGTCAGTTAGTTTACTAAATATAACAGACACACTATCTATACTATATTATAAAGCATTTGACTAAAACTCTTAAAAACTCTTAAACTCTTAAAACTCTTAAAGACAACATCTATTGCTAATGGTACAACCTGTTAAAGTCATCCCTAAAACCGTTCATCCCTATCCGATTTCATCCCTATCCGATTTCATTCATATCCTATTTCATCAAATACAGGATAAACATCTCATTTTAAATATAAAAAATCTAAAATATAATTAAGATAATTATTGAATTCTAACAGAATACTTAATTATTATCTTT